CCTAACATAACCTATGGGGCTTTGTTAACAATAGTCCATCAAAATGCTGGCCCATCCACTGTAAAACATGGACTACACCACACAAGATTTGAGAATGCTATTTTTGGTTCAATGCTTTATAAACCTATAACTGCTCTGAACAATAAAGTCTATTAATTTTTTTTAAAGCTACAAACAATAACAGCCAGTAGCAATCTGCTTCAATCACATGTACGCAGCAGGGGGACTGTCTCACCCAGGGAGGCTGAAGGAGGGGGTTTTTCTTCGGTTTTCGAGATGGTCTCACTCTGTTGATTCTCAGGCTGTCTCCAGGTCCTGAGCTCACTGTGAGGCTGAGTGCACAGGCCTGTGCCACTGGGTGCTTTCTATGGGGATGGGGCTGCCACACAGACAGACATGTGGCTTTCCACAGCTCCTTGGTGGAGCCTTTGTAGAACCGATAGGAAGTCTACTGCTAAGAGTTGGGGCTAGGTCCAGTGCAGGGCTTTGGGTTCAGGGCAGCGACCAAGCATCTATTTTTGACACATTTAGCATTCACTGCCACCAAGCCCCACATGGTAAATGTTGGCAGCAGGTTCGCCTTGGCTGCTAAGAGACTGACTGTATGGGCTTCTCTGCTGCTTGCATGAGTGCCTGGGCTATTTTTAGGCCACAGCTAATCCATTCAACGAATACCACCGCCACAGATGACTCACAGTCCACAGCAGTCAAACTGAAAAATAGTGGAATGAAAGAAAAGCCGGCTGCAGATATGCAGGAAGCACATCCTTATAATACACCCGGGCAGCAGACACATAGACCCACCCCAGGACAATCGGGAGGGGGAAATGGCAGCGGCTATTCAGCCAAGTCTGGAAGGGAAGCAAGCAGTCACCTCTAGGATCTGGGAGGCGACAGACAGCCCTAATAACATATGGAGCTCGGCATTTAGGAATGGAACAGCCAAAGGGAAGTGTCAGCTCCGAGCCCTTTACAAATAAATTCTACTACAACTCTACTGGGGAGAGCCCATACTGGGTACTCTTCAGGAAAGCTGAAGCCAGGGTGTGTGAGAGAGGTGGGGAGGGGGGAGGCTGCTCCTGCATCCCATGTGTCTGCCAGAGGGGAGCCAAGGGCACCCACCCAGGGAGTAGCTTGCTAGCACTCTCTGCAGAAGGGGGCCCCAGGCCCTTCTTTCTGCACTGATGCTCTTACTGATGCAGAGAGCTGGCGTGCTCCCCCCGCCCCCAGCTAGCTCTGCTCGGAAAAACAGGCTGCATCTGCTCATGCAGCCTAGTACACGCCCACTCAGCCTTCCCCAGAGACATGGGCAGAACAGGGCTCCACTGGCCACGCGTGGGAGCAGGCCACGAGAATGCAGGCAGGGGACACACAGCTTCTGTGCTCATCGGGACAGTTTAGTCTTCTTAGGAGAGCGTCACAGACCATGTCTTTCTGTAAACTCTGAGAGCATGAGCTCTTGCATTTATTTGTCAGATGCAAGCCTTTCTCCTCTTGGGGTCAATGTCAGCCAAGCTGAAGCAGGGACGGGAACCAGACAGCCCCAGGGCTGGTGCTACTACTGGTCGGAGGAGGACAGAGACAGAACTGAATCACTTTGCTCCATGGCCTGCATTTTCCCTGAAGCTACCCAAGGGCTTGGTATGCAGCCTCCTTCTGCATGTCTGGGCCCAAGGTTGATGTCACTGCCCAAGTCCCACAAGCTCACGGCCTCACACTGGGGAGTATTAATCGAGAAACATTTGGGAGTGAATCCTCAGGGAAGCAGCGTGGCAGGAGCAGCCACTGTCCCACTGTGATAGGACGTGCTTACCCATCTTCCTCCTGGGGAGACTCCCTGGGTGACATGGCGATGACCAATGACATGCGAAGTCCCTTTACTTGTCCCACAGCAGCAGGGAGAAGGGACTGGGAGAACAAAGGTCACTTTGCTTGTGCCAGGTATGCTAAAGTCACAGGGACAGAGTGAGATAGCATTTCCCTCCGCCGCTGCCTTGTCTGGAGTCACTGAAGACAGCTTTCCACAACAGCAGCTAGGAACACAGCTCTTTAGAAATGATGCTAAGATGAAACCCCCTTGGGTTTCAAGGGGTGGCTTTAGTCCCCACAGCCTGTGTGCTGAGGTCACTAAATGTCTCCCTCAGCACTCTAATTAACGGATGCCAATACATTTTATAGTTTGTTCTAGAATGGAGAAAACTAAAGGATTAAAAAAATCAAGGAAGCCGGACAGATAATCTTTGTAAGGATCACTTTTTTGCCTTAGATGACACTGCAGCAAGACAGTTCAAACCACCTGTCCCCCTACCCAAGTCCAAGGCTCCCTCCCCACTGGGCCACTGAGCCCCCATATGAGTGACAGTGGGTGTGGCTCTGAGGTCAGATATCCCTGATACTCCGCTCACGCAGGATTTATGCCATTCATCCTGCAAAAAAAAAATCTCTTCTTCCCAGATTGTGCAAATCTGTAAATCTGCTGCTTCATTGAACAGCTGGTACATTCCCACGCTTCCTGTGGGTGCCAGCGTTTGCTACGTCTCACCAGTGGATCAGACTAGGAGCAGAGGTCCTGGGGTGGAGAGTGGGGGGATAGCCTGTACACTCTCGGAACCTCAGCTTGTGTGGGGATCAGTTCTGTCTCCCTTCCCCTCTGTCTTCCCTCTCTCTGGCTCTGATTCTGAGCTGTCACTTGTGGCAAACAGCTGGTGGAGTATTTTCTTCGCTGCAGTGATGTCAGCTGGTTTCTGATAGGCTTTCGGGTGCAGTGACAATCATCGGTTTTGTCAGCCCTTTGCACTTTTGATTCTGTGAAGAAACCCAGCCGCCTCTTTAGCAGCCCACAGCTCTCTTGCCCCTCTGTGCCGAAGCGCATGGGCACAGCTGTGCAGGGGCTGCCGCCAGCCAGCGATCAGGCTCTGACAGAGTCCTACCTCCTCATTTGCACCTCAGCTGTAAGCAAAGAGACAGAGATGTAGGGCACCAGGAAAGAAATGTAAGCAGGGCTCTGACCTCACAGGGAGGCCATGTTCGCTCAGGGTTCAGTTTGCACAGTTCTGAGCAGGGGAAACACACTCACAGTGCTCCTCTCTCAGGTGGAAGAGGGCTGCAAAACACCCAGAGTCCCTGCCCTGCAGAGGCTGCTAGCACGTGGGGGGCCACAGGGGCCCGATTTGCTCTCAAGCTGAGGGATGCCCTTCAGGAGCTCACAGAATTTTGGAAGAAGACCTCCTTGCATACCAGCTTCTGTTCACAATCACGTTTTAAGGATAAAAGCATATTAAGAAAGCATTTACTTTCATTCCTGCTTATTTTCATGTCTGACCTGGGGGCCACTACAAGTCAGTTTTTGTTTTTGTTTTTTTTGTCTTTTTCCTTTTTATCGGTACGGTGGGGGGGGGGGTCGAACTCACGACTGCCTGCTTCCAAGGCAGGCGCTTATGCCACTGAGCTAAACCTCCAGCCCCTACAAGTCAGTTTTGCTGAAAGCCACTCACTTCTTTCTGGTCCTCGTCCTGATTTCACAAGTAGCCATGAGAGACAAGTAGCAATTTAAGTAACTGTATCACTGTTTTTAAAAAATCCTTTTTTAAAAAGTCACAACTTTGGAGGAATCTTTCTTGGGCCTGTCCAGAGACTGTAATCCCAGAGTGACATCTCACCATAAATGTATAGCTAAAAGCTCTCAGCAGTGGAGGGCCCCTGACAGTACAAAATCCTATGGCAGTTCTGGAAAATATTTTGGGAAACTGTTCTCCCAGTGCCCTTGATCTTTTAAAAATGCTCAGAAAAATTAAACTGTTTACTTTTGCTTGCTTTGTTTTCTTTGAATGTTCCAAATATCACTTATGCCTTGGCTGTTTTCAGTGGACACCTACAGGAGGCCTTGTCACCTCTGACTGCAATGAAGTCCTCAGAGAACATGTCGGGAGACAGTGGGTCCCACAGCCAGGGACAATCTAGTTTTGAGTCCCAGAAATTTAGGGAAAGCAACAATTTGTTGTTTCACACATATGGGCTGTGGGATAAATGCATGCAGGTGATTTAAGAGGCTGCAATGGATGGACCGAAGGAGTCCTTGGAAAAACAGAGTTAACCGTAGCTCTGGTTTAAATATGACTCAGCTGGGCTCTGACCTCACATGCCCAGCAGACCCCTGGGGACAGCCCTGATCAATCACTCATTTTAGATTCTCACGCTTTGTCATGTTAGGTGCTGGCTGACCTGAAGCTTCTGCCATGCCTAGCTGATTCCTAGAGATGGCAAATGACCCACTTAGGAGCACACCTCTCACACACAGTCTAGGCCGGTGCACATCCCCAACAGCTCCTGTGTTGACCTTTCACACTCAGGGCCCGTCCCCTTTCCCCAGTCTCCCCAGGGTCAGTTACCAGGGAGCTGGGCACACCCCGGGGTGTCAGACTCACCCACGTCAGCCACACCAACCATCCCCACGCCTGCTCACCCTGCCTCTTCCATTCCTTCCCACGGGGACTGAAATAAAGGCCCCGGCCCACAGTTCCCCTGTCCCTCTCACAGCACAGCGTGAGCCCCGCTGCTCGGTACCTGAGACAACATAAACTGCCTTTTCAACAAGAGTCACCTGCTGGCCTCACCACACCTAGGTAACAGTAACATCTGTATTTTACAGCACAATGTTAGAAATGTCCTGATGCCTCTGTCTTTCCCAGATACAGTGACCACTAGATGGGCCTGACAGCCTTCTGCCTTAATCAGCTGGGGCTCCCAACTACCCTATGCTGAATGCACAGAGGTTAACAGAGGCTGTGGGGGGCCCGGGCTTGATTGTCTCAGGGAACACAGCTGGGAGGCTCCTGTAGGATCCAGCAGCCCCCACCTCTCTCAGAATTGGTGTACTGCACAACTACCTGGGGTGAGGGACCCCTTAATCCTGACTCAGAGGAGCCATCTGACCTGCCAGGAGGTAGATGCAGGTATCGTGGTGGGGGCCCCCGTACCTGTGTGGCCCAGGCCAATGTTACCTGTGCTCGGTGCTCCCCGACAGCAAACTGTATGATGGCGACACCTGGGCTGTGGCTGTCTTCGATCCTTTCCACGGTGCTGGAGTCAATCTTGAGGTCATTGCTAATCTCCGCACTCTGGATGAAGTCTTCTGTTTTCAAGTCCTCCACCTTCTTCAGCTCCCCATTGGCCAGCTGGATGATGGAGCCTTTCATGAAGTAGGGCGGCAGGGTGGGCGGTGCGGCCGCCGCTGGGGAGGTCACCGACTGGACCACAGGCAGATGGATCTGGGCCTGCACCATCGCTGGGTAGGCGGCCTGGGTGGCCAGGGCCTCGGGGCTGAAGTTCTCGGTCTTGGGCAGGGCTGTGGTGACAAAGGTGTGAGGCACTGCAGCGAAGTGGGGAGACGACGTGACAATGGCAGAGGCTGCCCCCGACGCCTCCATGTCGGTGCCGCCCACTGGGATGAGCAGGGGCTGGGTGCCCGGGATGACCAGGTGCTGGGGCAGGCTGCCAGCGTAGGTGATTGCTTGCTGCTGGCCGCTCAGGTAGCCGATGACAGGGGGCTGTGTGCCTGCGTAGAAGGCCGTGGCGGGCAGTCCGACCGGCAGAGACTCCGAAGCGCTGTGTGAGGTCTGGATGACCGTGTGGGGTGACAGTGCGTAGGACCTGTGGCTCGGCTTCCCTAAGTGCAGGCCCCCCTTGTCGTTGAGGGTGGACGGGGAGGCCTCTCGGTGGGTGGCCTGCTGCACCTCCAGGTCGGCCGTGGGCGTGGAGCTGTTGGGCAGGACCATCACAGAGGCCCGCACCCCCGAGGCCTCTCGGCCGCTGTAGTCCGCGGGGCTCGGGTGGACCACCACATGCCTGGGCTCGTAGGGGTGAGGTACCGACTTGCTGCCGGCCTTGCTCAGGCCCAGGTCGGTCGAGGACGGAGCCCCGTATCGCCGGCTCTTCTCCATCTCCCCATTGAGCACCTCCTTGGCCTGCTGCAGCCGGCCACTCTCGGTTTTCTTGGTGGGCTCCCGAGGGACGAAGTGGCCCCCGGAGTCGGTGTACTGCACGACCACCTGGGACGAGGGCCCCAGGGTGAGTGTGTGCGGGATCATCGTCTGATGGGGGTGGAGGTGGACCGGGATGGCCGGGGGAGAGGCCGTGCGGCCGGTGCTCTGCGGAGAGCCGGAAATGTGGATGTACTGGTTCTGCTGGGCAGGTGGGGGGGACCCCGGAGTGATGAGCCCCGGGGCCCGGCCGAGGTGCGGCGGCTGCTGTGGCGGCTCGCCCTTGTGTCCTGGTGTCTGGCTCAGGCTGCCCATGTTGGCCAGCAGTGTGGAATAGGCCTCCATCTGGGAGCGCTGGGATGGAGTGGTGGCCCCTGCAGCGGAGGCCACTGCACTGGTGACCGGGTTGGCTGAGGGCGAGATCAGCTGTGAAGGGATGAAGCCGGCGTAGGGTCCACTATACTGGGAGGACCCGATGAACTGGAAGGTGTGAGGCAGGTGAGCATACTGCACGGGGGACACTGGGGTCCCCGACTGTGGGGGAGGGTACGCCGTGGGCAGTGTGGTGGCCGCTGGGACCGACCTGGGAGCACTGGGCGGTGAGTAGTCGAGCCCCGTGGACAGCGATTTGTGTAAACCTATTCCCTGCTGTAAAGCAAGCTCCACCGAAGTCCCCGCCGGCCCGTGCCGCCCGCTCCCGTGGCCCTGGGCACCAGGGTTGCTGGGGAGCCATGCCACACTCTCCGCCTGGTGGTTGTCGCTGGGCAGGACGGTGGCCTTCTCTTCGGAGGGCCGGCTGGTGGCGGGGATCTCGCGCTTCTTGGGTGGCAGGCATTCGTTGCTCCGTTCTTGGTTGGATTTCATTTTTCGCCGTCCCCCCTCCACGGTGGCTGTCTCACTGTCTGGCTGGCTCTGATTTTAGTCTGATAAACGGAAAGTCACATTTGATTCCAGCAGGGGATCCAGGCGCTTCATGAGGAATCATCTCCCCGTGGGTGCACTCCGCCGACTGCAGCTCTGGATTCTGGACAACAGGAGGCCAGGGATTGGGGAGAAGGAAAGAGAGAGGGCAGGAGGGGACAGAAGTCAACAGATCAGCACCAGGAAGAGCAAGCAATAACAACAACAAAATCCCAGTATCTTGGCAAGGTTAAGACCAAGGCCCTGGAACTGACATGAACACCTACAGCTCTAGGACAGCCGCAGCACAGAAGCAGAGGGCACGGGCCACACTGTTTGGAGGCGCGTGGAGACAGGGCAGCACATCCCAACTCTAAAGCATGCACTTTGCTATGGAGTTAACAGCTCTCCTATGACTTTCTCAACATTCTCTCTGCTCGCTTTTTTCCTTCTCTTACTGTGAGGAGGATGCATTTCTACAATTTGCTTTTCAGAAACACTGGGTCCAGTCCTCACCTCTTCTGTACTGAGTGTTAAGTCCAACAAAGCCCACTGGAAGGAAGGAAGGCCCCAGCCAAGGACAGCCAGACCTGCCACACAGCCAGCTCTGGGAAGGGGCAGGTGTGCCTAGCAGGTCTTGTAGGACATTCCTGCATTCTCATTTGCCAGGGCTGAAACTCTGAAAACTGGACATGGCTCCGGGTCCGTGCTGGATCTGCAGTGACCACTCTGTGATGCCTTAACACACACACACACACACACACACACACACACACACACACACAACCAGCTCAGCACAGGTTGCCAAAATCTTGGGTTTCTAGAACCTTCAAAACAATTCTAAGTACAGACATTCACATGTAGTAACAGGAAGCCAAAAGCAATCTGTGCTTCAAAAAATGCAGTGGCGTATAGTTTTAAATAAACCAAGTACAATAACAGGCCTGATGTACTGAAATTTAATGACAGTTCTGCACCTGCTTCATCCTGTCTCCTCCTTTCTCCCCTTTCAAGGTTTCTCTGAATTCTCCCTTTTTACCCTCCCTCCACCTCTCCTTGGAAAGGGCCAGCTTACCACCGACACTAGAAGTGGGACCCCCTTCAGACAAAGTAGAATTGTGGGTTCAAACATGGCCACGCAGCCAGGAAGCCCAGAGTGCTGCTCACTGACATACATCTCGGTCGCTTAGTAACCAGCGAACCACTGTGGGCAAACCCGGGTCTACCTGGCCTGAAGCAGGGTCTCACTGGAACCAACTGAACCGGGCTCATAAGCAGTGGATGCGAGTGGTCCTTACTGGTGGGTGGCAGCAATGTCAAGCACTGAGATCCCAAGAGCCATAGGGGTGGGCTTTGGGAACTGCAGGTCCTCAGGATTTGTAATTTCCTTTCCTAAGACCTTTGCTTCGCTCTGATTTTCAAACACACACAAGGCAGCAGTTTTTGCATTCCATTCTTGTCCAAGCTGAACTATGGGTGAGATCCCTTCTGCAAGGCTTGCCCTCTTCTCTCCTCTGTGCCCACTCCACCACCTAGTACCAAATCTCTCCCATCTGGTTGATGGTTCTTCACTTTGATTTGCTGCTCTTTGGGGCAATCAATGATTTAATGGCTCTTGTTGATTTAGCTTCACCATCAACAGGGCAGAAAGACAAATAACACAATAGTGAGTTCACCTCCTTAATGATTCTGACTAAATACAGGAAGGCAGAGGTTTAGAAATTTGATGTCTCAACACTGAATAGGAGTTTTCAAGAGGAGGTTAAAGACTGAATAGAAACAGAGGGTAAAGAGACTTGAAACAATGGACAGCCACAACTCTGTCCAAGGAGGTATTTACCCACCCACCTAGGACTTTTTAAAAGTCCTACAAAACTTTGTTCTGTACAGCCCTCTCTCATAAAGAGCACAATACATAATTTACACCCAAGGCTGACTAATAGTAAGGACGGAATAAGCATTAAAAAAAACCACATCCCCTTTTGACTCTCTGAAAAGCAACAATTTTGACTATTTTAGGATTTCAACAATCACTTAAGCTTAAGCAAGGCGACTGGATAATCTGCCATATTCTCATACCAACTAGCTAGGAAGTTCATTTCTGAGATTTCCTCCAAGCAAAGGATGTCATGCGCCCCCTGCTGGTTCTGCAGGAGCACTGATTCTCCCCAACCGATTTTATTAGGAATGCACACACAAGAATAGTATCTCGGAATGTGGAATGAGGACATTTGCATACGGTAGGCCCAGCCAGTAAGAGAATAGGTTAATTAGCTCAAGGCAACTCTAGGGAAGAAAAAGCAGCGGCATAGAAGTCCTTTCAAAGCCAAACAAAATGTCAAACATATTCAGCAACAGGCCTATTAGCAATGCAAATGCAAAACTGCTCATACAGGAGAATGCACAATACACAAACTAGAAAACCCCTCTGAAGGTACTTCAAGAACCCAGCTTTTGCAAATATTGAAGAGTGCTGAGTTGGTTGTTAAAAGAGCAGGAGTCTGTCTATGCTATTTAATTGAAAGACAAGATGCTGGCTTTGTAGCCCTAACAGCTAACAGGGCCAGGTTTCTACTAAGAAACCAACAGGCCCTAATGGCTTTGACGCATGAATTCAGATTTATTCTTATGAAAACTTACTCATTGATCTACAGCACCTTTTCTAGAGATTGCCAATAACAAGTCAAGGACATAATGATCAACACAGAAGATGTGACCTGGTTCCAAATTGATAAAACCTTAACCAATGCTCCTCCTAGATTTTGTCATTTAATTTAAAAAAATTTTAAGAGAGGCGATCTTCCTATGCTGCACAGGGTGGCCCTGAACTCCTGAGCACGAGCCATCTTGTCAGCTTCAGCCTCCTCAGTAGCCTCTTCGATCTAGGAAGACAATTTACCAGCACAGCACAAAGCAGACAGGGCTCTGTAATTCAGGGTGATACGGGCTTTCCTCGCGCTCCACAGGACGCCGGGGTAGACGTTGGATCTTGCTGTATTTTCAGTGACCACCAGAGGGCGCCATAGGATGACACCAGGTTTCTGGTATATTGGGAAATTATTTGTGAGAAGAAAGAGGTAACTTTCCTTAAATGGAAAGACAGGGACAAACAAAATAAGAATAAAAAGGAGAATGGGATTTTTTTTCCTTAGGGGCTCTTTCCAGTTATACATAAATGGCCTCTCAGGGATCCCTGGACTTCACCTCTGAATGTACCTGAGCCAACACAAAAATTTCAAAGCATCAGGCCCCACACAATAACATAAATGCTAAGTTGCCAGAGAACCACACAAGCACATCACATCGTTTCAGCATTATTATTGCAAAAGGAAAAGCAGAAGGGGAGTACAGAGATGAATCAAGAAAAAAAAAATGAAGGTTTACTACTTATGAATGGCCTGGTAAATCTTTGTTCCGCATACATTCATCTTAAGGATTTATAAGTCCATAAAAGTAGCATTTCCATTTCATATTTCTCTATCAGTGTTAAGGCCCTGCCAGTCAAAGCATGATCCTCAGTCCAGCAAGGCCGGGATCTCAGGGAGCTTGTTATAAATACAGGATCCCAGACTCTACCCAGACCTATGGATTCAGAATCCACATTTTAACAAATGCTTCCAATGACTCAGAACGTCCGTAGCTTCTTTTCAGTGGCCTAGGCATTGGAAACCAAACAGGGTGCTGCACCGTGCACAGAGCTGGCAGAGCCTTGCAGGTAGATGCCTGATGTTTGGGGGAACCCTGGCTGTATGTTTTGGCGTCATTAAACTCAAAACAACTCCATGTAATTCTTTGTCCTTTTTCATGTGGTTCTTTTAAAGAGCGTAGAGAAACATTTAAAAGACTTACAAATTTTATAATGGACTCAAGCGTTTCCAGGAAGAAAGACAAAATCTAATCAGGAAAGTCTTGCATCTTTGCAATGATATAGCTAGAGACGTGAGACTATAAAGCCTGCTGACTCTAAGTCCTGTAAATAATAAGCAGCTCCTCAGAAGACACCTCTGCAGCTTGATACATTCAGTCCTAAAAGCCGCCCACACAGGCAATCCTGCGTCTCTCAGCCGGGGTGGACCGTGCCTGCTCAGTGTGCCTTAACACACAGATGAGTGAGTTGTGGCAGGCAGGTGGCCTCCCTAACCTGCCAATCCAAAATCATCCCAAATCTGAGACTCCGAGCACTGACACCACACCACGGGGGAAACTGCACACTTGAGCCCACGTGACAGGTTGCAGTCCCAAGGCCCAGTGTCATAACCATACCGAAGAAACGACCTCTGGTGGTCACATGTATGCAGTGCATATGAAACACCAACGTTGAAGATGAATTTTTACTTGGGTTCTATCCACGAGCTAAGTACAAACATTCTGAAGCCCCAAAATATCAAGAATCTCAAAAGATACTCAAACTTGTACTGTAAAAACTTTAGGAAACTTCACAAGACAGAACAGCAGCCTCAAGACACATGTCATAAAAACAAGGTAAAGAACCTTGAAGTCAACTTCCAGTTTTCCAGTGTCACATCACTGGAGTGGAAAGTCCCTGTCATACACTGCGAGACATACGTTGTTTTGATTAATCAATCAAAAAGAATAAGCCCAAGCCTCACAGCCTTAGGGTACCCAGAATGGAGAAAAGTGAGTCAATCAGAGTCATAATTAGACGCCTTTGGGACTGGTGGGACACACTTTTTCCAAAGCACATGGATCTCATATTCATTTATCAAACAAACTCTTAGTTTATAGGCTGTCCAGTGGGTTTTCGTGGTCCAATGTTGGTGTAAAGCAAAGAGCAACTTGTTTTTAGTTCTCTCCTCAGTTTTGTGTTTAGTTCTGCTCAACTTTTATTAGTATTTGGTTCTTGTATTTAGAGGTAGCAGAAGGCTGGGATGCTTCACACAGTGCAATTAATATTCAAATATATCCGCAGAAGCTGGAAGTGATGGCAGAGAACCAAGAAAATTAAGATTAATGATAATAAATATAAATGCCTGCCCTGGTTTCAATAGCTCAATTAGTCTAGTAGTGGTGGAGAGATCCGACTTTAGAATGGTTTAAATGACAGTCCCCGGGAAATTTTTATTTGACTAAATACTCACTATGAACCAGCAGTTTGGTAGGATT